GCTCGGGTTATAATTTTCCACGGGGAATAATCATGTTTCTGGAGTCTGGGATGCATCTCTTGTGAAATCCACGTGGTCACGATGACCTCTGGATATTTAAATCATCCCCAGGTCACTCTTAAACATTCTTTGAATGAATTCTCGGGGAATAAACATGTCCTTGGCAACTCTGGAGCATGTACTTTGAAATCCACGGGGTCCCGATGACCACTGGATTTTCAAACCACCCCCCAAGTCATTCTTACCCTTTTTTCAATAATTCCATGGGGAATAAACGTGTCCTTGAAGACTCTGGAGCATGTACTTCGAAATCCCCGGGATCCCGATGACCATCGGATTCCCAAATCACGCCCCAAGTCCCTCTTACACATTTTTTGATTAATTCCTCTGGGGATAAATGTGTTTTTGGAATCTCTGGAGCGTATACTTTGAAATTCACGGGGTCCCGATGACCACTGAATTTTCAAACCACCCCCCAAGTCATTCGCACGCTTTTTTTCAATAATTCCACGGGGAATAAACGTGTCCTTGAAGACTCTTGAGTATGTACTTCGAAATCCCCGGAATCCCGATGACCACCGGATTCCCAAATCACGTACCAAGTCCCTCTTACACATTTTTTGATTAATTCCTCGGGGGATAAACGTGTTTTTGGAATCTCTGGAGCGTATACTTTGAAATTCACGGGGTCCCGATGACCACTGGATTTTCAAACCCCCCCCCAAGTCATTCGCACGCTTTTTTTCAATAATTCCACGGGGAATAAACGTGTCCTTGAAGACTCTTGAGTATGTACTTCGAAATCCCCGGAATCCCGATGATCACCGGATTCCCAAATCACGTACCAAGTCCCTCTTACACATTTTTTGATTAATTCCTCGGGGGATAAACGTGTTTTTGGAATCTCTGGAGCATGTATTTCGAAATCCCCGGGGTCCCGATGACCACTGGATTTCCAAATGACGCACCAAGTCCCTCCTATACATTTTTTAAATAATTCCTCGTGGAATGAACATGTTTTTGGAACCTCTAGAGTATGCATTTCGAAATCCTCGGGGTTCCGATGACCACTGGATTTCCAAACCACCCTCCAAGTCATTCGCACGCTTTTTTTCAATAATTCCACGGGGAATAAACGTGTTCTTGAAAACTCGCAAGCAATATTTCGAAATCCCCGGGATCCCGATGACCACCGGACTCCCAAATCACGCACCAAGTCCCTCTTACACATTTTTAAATTAATTCCTCGGGGAATAAACGTGTTTTTGGAACTTCTGGAGCATGTCTTTGAAAACCCATAGGGTCCCGATGACCATCGGATACACGTTTATTTCCCGGGAAATTATTTAAAAAATGCATGAGAGGGACTTGGTGCATGGTTTGGAAATCCAGTGGTCATCGGAACCCCGGGGATTTTGAAATACATGCTCCAGAGGTTCCAAAAACATGTTCATTCCCCGAGGAATTATTTAAAAAATGTATAGGAGGGACTTGGTGCGTCATTTGGAAATCCAGTGGTCATCAGAACCCCGAGGATTTCGAAATACACGCTCCAAAGGTTCCAAAAACACGTTTATTTCCCGGGAAATTATTTAAAAAATGCATAAGAGGGACTTGGTGCATGGTTTGGAAATCCAGTGGTCATCGGAACCCCGGGGATTTCGAAATACATGCTCCAGAGTTTCCAAAAATACGTTTATTCCCCGAGGAATTATTTAAAAATTGTATAGGAGGGACTTGGTGCGTGATTTGGAAATCCAGTGGTCATCGGAACCCCAAGGATTTCGAAATACATACTCCAGAGGTTCCAAAAACATGTTCATTCCCCGAGGAATTATTTAAAAAATGTATAGGAGGGACTTGGTGCGTGATTGGGGAATCCGGTGGTCATCGGCATTCCGGGGATTTCGAAGTACATGCTCCAGAGTCTTCAAGGACATGTTTATTCCCCGTGGTATTATAGAAAAAAAGCGTGCGAATGACTTGGGGGGTGATTTGGAAATCCAGTGGTCATCGGGACCCCAGGGATTTCGAAATACATGCTCCAGAGATTCCAGGAACACGTTTATTCCCCGAGGAATTATTTATAAAATGTATAGGAGGGACTTGGTGCGTGATTTAGAAATCTAATGGTCATCGGAACCCTGAGAATTTCGAAATACACGCTCCAAAGGTTCCAAAAACACGTTTATTTCCCGGGAAATTATTTAAAAAATGCATAAGAGGGACTTGGTGCATGGTTTGGAAATCCAGTGGTCATCGGGACTCCGGGGATTTCAAAATACATGCTCCAGAGATTCCAAAAACACGTTTATCCCCCGAGGAATTAATCAAAAAATCTGTAAAAGGGACTTGGTGCGTGATTTGGGAATCCGGCGGTCATCGGGATCCCGGGGATTTCGCAGTACATGCTTCAGAGTCTTCAAGGACACGTTTATTCCCCGTGGTATTATTGAAAAAAGCGTAAGAATGACTTGGGGGCTGGTTTGAAAATCCAGTGGTCATTGGGACCCCGTGGATTTCAAAGTACATGCTCCAAAGTTGCCAAGGACATGTTTATTCTCCGAGAATTCATTCAAAGAATGTTTAAGAGTGACCTGGGGATGGTTTAAATATCCAGAGGTCATCGTGACCACGTGGATTTCACAAGAGATGCATCCCAGACTCCAGAAACATGATTATTCCCCGTGGAAAATTATAACCCGAGCTGCGGTGTAGGGGGGGGGGGATCCGGAGCATCCTCGAAGATGCCCAATACTCATTAAAAGGGTTTTAAATCATGAATTGCACCCGAAAATGATTTTTCATATTTATTTACTCATTTTTTACTTTAAAACCCTTTTTTACCATCCTACAACATTTCAGTGCATCGCCGCCAGATGGCGGCACCTTCGCATTCTCATTCGACAATTTGTGCGTTCGACATTTTTTCCTAGCGTCGCCAGGGATCAACAGGTTATAAAAAGTATAAGAGAAATCCTCCCTTTGAAGCAACAACTATACAGTGATAAAAATTTCCATATATTTTTTCACCCCTTTGAAGCTTTCTTCCTGCCCATCGATCTAAATGACTATTTGGGTCAATTGGCTCAGGAGGAGCGAAATCCCAATACGTTTATCAACGAAGAACTGAACAAACATTGTCAGGATCACTGTCGCATCTACACCGATGGCAGTAAAAATCGAGAGAACAACTATGTAGGGGCTGCGTGTTTATGCACAGAGTTGGACACGCGCGTATCTACTACCCTCGGTGGTCACACCTCTAGTTACACCGCAGAATGCATTGCGCTCCTACTTGCAATACGACTCATAGCAGAAAATCCAGGTCGTAAATATGTCATAAGGTATGATACAAGCAGGTATGATGAAGCCAGAAAACAGGGGACAAGTTCGTCGGAGCGCCAGAAGCGGCGTTCCAGTCGACTTACGCTTCCCTTCATCTCCTTTAGTCTCCCACCACTGGCACTTTTTTTGCTGGAGGGAACGTTATGAAATTGATATTTTAAGTCAAAATAATTAGCCCCGTATGAAATTACATGTACAATGCGAAGAAAAATAAAAAAATGCCAATATATTCTTGGTTTTTCATGTACTATTTCTTTAATAATCAATGGCCCGCTCACTCTTTCATTAATGGGGTGATTTTTATCTTATAATAGGTGAATTCTTTCTTTTTTTACTGAAAATAATTACCAAGATTGAGAGTGAAATCACTGCTCAATATAATAGCATTAAAAATAAAATGAAAATGCATTTTTGTCCAATGTTGAACAATATTTATTTTTCGCGCGAAAATATCTCGCGAATGTTGTTTGTTTATGTCTGCTCCAAAAAGTACTCCAATAGATCTGAACAGTCTGTGCGAGTTGATTCATGTAAAATAATTAAATCGTGTGCAATTATAAATTGCAAAGCATCTTCTAGGGATAATTATCGTTTTTTCTCCCTTCCCAGTGTGAAAAAAATTGAGAAGCGACGACAATGGCTGGAAAAAAGCGGTGATTTGCTACCGAGTGATCAAGTGTCAAAGAACGATTATTATTTGTATGAGGTGCATAAGTGAATAGTTGCGACTTTTTTTTTCTTTTGTGGCTCTTGAAACCCCTTGTACCTCATTTATTTCACCCCTCGTGACCATTATGACCCTCGTATCTTTTTCAAAACTTGTTCATAGAAGAAAACATTAAAAAACATAGTTCAAACTGGGATCCTCATTATCGTAATCCCATCCCTCCAAATTCTTCCCTATTAAGCTTCACTGAAGAGAAGAGGAATAATTAATTAAATGGACTTCTGATGTTAATTATTCTTCCTTCTAATTAGTATTTCAATCGTCTAGTCGACATGACTCTCAGTCAATCTTTATCGCTCGATCCCATAGAACTATTTGCTGAGAATCATATAGTTTTCATCTCAACATTTTTTAATCCTGTTCCTCTCGATTGAACACAAAATTTTATTTTCATCACGCTGTATCGGAACAGTTACTGTAAGTAACTTTCCGACACATTGTAATGAAAAATTTTGTTCGTAACTCGTGAAAAAAGTGGTTTTTGGCTCGTGAAATTATATCACTCACCTTCGGCTCGTGTTATAAACCTCCCACTCGCCAAAAACCACTTTTTTGCACTCGTTACGAAATATACTATTTCTCTCATGAAAAAAAAAAAAATTGATTTGACGCGGATTTGAACTCGCGACGCAAGTAAAATCAGCGTGTGGTGGGAGATCTAATCCGCGTGAGGGGAAGGGAGGCAACAGCGCCGCGCGCGGCTTCCGTTGGAACTTGTCCCCTGTTTCGGTGTCGGCGACATCAAAGCTTCACCATACCTCCCTGTATCATACCTTACTATGTCATACTGACGGACTCACGTACGTATTTTCAATTCCCTCCATGCCAACTGCGGTCGATAAAACCGCAATTTTCATCATCGATAAGAAGCACACAGTGTTTCTCATCACTACCCGGTTGCGCCCAACAGCAGAAGCCGAGGAACTCGGCTCGGAGTCGGAGTGTGTGTAAAATTACCTGAATCAAAACTCACTTAACATAGGTAATTTTCCTCTGCTCCACTCCCCCAAAAGTGTTACAAACTGACATTCGGCTCCTCTCTCCACGAAAATACCCCCACACGAGCATGGGAGTGTAAAATCTCCACAAAAGTCAACAAATAACACATCTTGGAGAAAATATATTGCACTGAATCATCAACGGAATATGTCAACTCTCTTCCGCGATTTATCGTGTACATACCGAAAACTTACTTCAGTAAGCCCGAGTAATTATCCGGTAAGTTGAGCTGAAAAGTTGCTAGCACGGATGAAAAAATTTAATAGAAAAACCTACCGAATTCGCTAGACAGTTCCATTAAATTTCTATTAAACTTTCTATTAGTTTTTGGCCGATTCTATTGAAATGTTCAATAGAACATATTCTATAGAAAAAATCAAAAGAATTCGATTTTTCTATACAATTTATTTCATTGAAATATTGTCAATAGAATTTCCTCGACTCAAATTTTCTAAGTTTTTTTGTTTGATTTTTTTGATGGGGAAAAAATTAAAATAGAATGAAAAAACCTTCGAAAATTTGAGCTGACGAAATTCTACAGAAAATTTCTGAAGAGAATAAGTTATATAGAAAAATCGAATTCTATTGACTTTTTATAGGGGAGGTTGGGGTACAATGGACACTTTTGACTTTTTTAAAAATATTAGTGACGGATTGAAATGTTGATGAAATTTAATAATTTTTTTTTTCAATACAAAGAACAATTCTTTTCCTTTGTGATGAGCCTAAACTGAGCTCTATTGTTACATTTGTTTCTGAGTTATGAATCATTTTCAAAAAGTCTAAGTGCCCATTTTACCCTACCCTCCCCTATATTTTTTTTATTGTTGAAAGTGCGAAAATTTACATGATTTATTTACACTGTCTGTAGTAGATTTACAGTTTTCGTTTCAGCATTTTTTTTTTACTTTCTCTATTGAATAGTTTCTATTAAACATTTCAATAGAATCGGCCAAAAACTAATAGACAGTTCCATAGCAATCCAATAGAATTTTCTAACGAATTCGCTTGGTTTTTCTATTAAATTTTTTCGTGCGTGAGAATTCCTCTTCAGCCCTGTGAAAACAACAATAATCCACTTACCGCTTTACATCTTCTGTTAAAGGTTATGTAAACAAGAAAATGTCGAAGTGCAACGAAATGTCGAATTGAACCGACAATCCACCGATCTTACCTCCAACTTATGATCCACTGATCGCCAAATGATATCAACCATGTCATCACCTTACAAATTGGAATTAAACCTGCGACAAATTGCGATGGTACAGACAGCGATAAATTGCTGGGAGCAGCACCAAATAAAAACTAAAATAAAAGATTTCTTCTTGAAGCACGACAGCTACACAATTTGTCGAAGAGAAGCTGAAGAGAAGATTGACTGGACCTGTGAGATACTGGAGAATGTTCGACAACAGAGACTCCTCCCAGACTCAATGAAAGACGAGATGACGTACATGATAACCTCCATTGGAGATCGAATGATAGAATGGCTGAAGTACATCACAGAGAAACTTGAAGGATCGAGACACAGGATTCCAGCACTTGAGCACTACCTGGACAATATTTTCTGGACAAATTACGGAACCATAGATGCAGTGAAAATATTCAAGTCATTATGTGTCGATGGAAAAATCACTGATATTCCTTACATGTATGAGGAGGCTTGTAACTACTGTCTCGAGGAGGACATAGAGAGTCTTTGGAAAAAGTCTTCCTTGGAGGACAGAGACGCCATATCTTGGAAGAGTCGATGGAACATCGGAGACGAGTGCAATGTCCACTTGTTAGTCTATTGGAGATGGTACATATCAGACAGAAAATCCCACTTATTCATCAAGTCCTCATCACCCCACAATTACGACGAAATTTATGACTTCAAGCACTCCGCTAAGGCGAATACCTTTAGATTGTCTGCCATCGGTGGATACGACGTTGCTGTCAAGTATTTTTATCATCAACTCAGCGACGATGAGAAGAGCAGAAATTTGGTGGAAACAACGGAAATTTTATTGAGTGATAAGATACTTCGCAGTGTCGAATCCACTGAGGAGGATTACACCAGGAGGTACATTGATATTCTAGTGTTTCTGATGCAGAAGATGACGACTACACAGAGAAATGAATTATTGAGAAGACATAAGGATGATATACTCAAGATGTTGTTGACTAATTGGCCTTGGCAGGCACTATTTATTCCTACACTTGAACAAACTTGGGAGTTCTTCTCCACTCGTGATTTCAAAGCACTGATAAAGGCTATTGTGGAGGCTATTCTGGATGAATATGAATTACGAGGGATTAAAGACACTACCACTCAATGCATTTTGTTTGAGACTTGGGATAAAGCACCACTGGCGCTCAAGAAAGGGGTGGTTAAGGACTGCTGGTTGTTCTTTGATAAATGTCTGAGAATAATGAAGGACATAACGTTCACCAAGTACGTTATCAATGATCCTGATTTGAAGGAGCACAGGCAACAACTGCTAGATGATGGTAAGGATTACTATTACTATCTCATCATCGAAAAAAATTACAATGTTGTTGAGAAGATCATGGAGGAGGTATTATACACTGATGAAGAGAGAGTCAGTTTCAAGAATAAAATTGATTCATGTCATATTTGTGAGTATTTTATTCTGAAATGTCAGTACTGCTCGGCTGATAAGTATTTGAATTGGCAGTTTAGTACTCCAGAGGACAGAATAAAATTTAAAAATTTTGCCAAGGCTAGTGCGACGTGCAGTTCGATTATTTGCGACATTTGGAGGGAAAATGAGTCTATCCCACAGGCCAAGAGGGAGAGTGACATTTTCTTCAGGTGGTTTCTTTATGAGGAGAGAGACAGAGAAACTTTGAGGACTCAACTCCAGCGTAGCCCTAAATTTTTACGAATCTTGGTGCGGCTTCTTCGAAGATCTAATGAGATTAAATTCAAGGAACTTTTGGACTGCTGTCAGTTCACACAGGAGGAAGTAGATAGACTAAGAACTCAGACTACTGAGACCATCAAAGCAGAGGAAGTCGAGCTGCAGAATAGGATGGAGGAGAACAGGCGACTGTTCATGCAGCGCTACCATCACTTTCGCTTCCATTGATTTTCCTTAATTGGAGTGAATTTTCTGTACATAATATTATTTCAGAATTCATTGACAACTACTGTTTTAATGTCAAATGATAGATATGTGGATAGAATTAAATTGTGGTAAACAGTAGTCTTTTCATCTATGAATCAGAAATATTGAATATATACACTAATATGAATGGAGAATTAATTGTTTAGTGAAGTATGGAAAATATTTAATAGACGGAATTTAGCGATTCTCTGACATCTCTTGAAATAACGATGGGAGATTGATAAAGTTGTGATCATTCCGATGCGTAAGAGATACCTTGAAATTATTTCAAATCGTCGAAATTTTATCAAATGTATACAGATCTATTTACCATGAAGCAAAGTCAAATACTTTGGTGTTTCCCTCAGTTTTGAAAATATTTCGGTGATGAAGAGCTTTTTCGCAGGGAAATTTTTAGTCATAAAAAAATTATCTCTTTAACGAGATAATTCAGTCATTAATACATTATGAACTCATCACAGTGAAATAATTGATTGTTTATTAGGTGTTTAGATAAAACGGGAGCAACTGAAATGAACAATTTCTGTTGTGAAATTATATTAGTGGAGTTGCTTTTTTCCCTGCAGATGTGGACAAGAAGGAATTTCATCCCCCGTTTTATTTTGGACGAATGCTATATTCTAATATGTAACTGTGGAGGAGTTCGATAAATTTCAGTTCATTTTCATGAATGGAGATATTTCGGAATTATCTTAAATGATTTAGATTCCAGGCTGTAAATGTAAACATGTGAAGAAAAAAATAGAAAATCCTAACAATTTTACTGTGAGTTCTATCAGTTTTTTTTGCTAGTTTCTATGGAAATGAAAAAATTCGAAAAAAATAGTCAATTGGCTTTGAGAGAGGGATATGTGAAAAAAGTGAAAAAAACTTGGAACTAATTTCTATAGGAATAATTTTCACAAAATTATTGGCATGGAAAAATCGAAATCAAAATTTCATTTCATTGAGATGTTTTCCAAAAACCCCTCATTATCGGGATTTTTCAACAATTTGTATACAACACAATCATTTCGATTAAATAACCAATCTTTGTTAATTAGACGGTGGACTAAGAACTGAGCAAGTGACATAAAAAATAGGAAGGAACCTTTTTTTGCAAACAATTCCTCCAGCATCAAAAGAAATCCAGCAATCTAGGGGAGAGTGGAGCCAAATAAAACAGTCAAAAAAACGACTGTTTGGCGCAATTCAAGCAAAAAAAAAATTTATTAAATATTTTTTGTAGCGAAGCTACTTATTTATCGTTCGAATTATTTCACTATATTGTATTCGCACCGGCTTAGCAGCCGAATACCTGACTACGTCACCTCGTGACGATTCGTCATATTTCGGGCACCCTCGATCGGATGATCTAATTGCCTATATCGTCGCGAGAGACAGATTCGTGATAGCTCTCAAGGTGTAAACATCGACACATTCGCTGTGAATAAATTCCATTCGATTTCTACCGTTATAACGCGTGTTATAATTTCATCAACCCGTCCAACATTCCCGAGTATCCCACATTTTTTTTATTAACTTTTTTTTGTTTGGGAGTATCGATGAGAATAATAATTTTCCATTTCGTAGAGTGAAAAACTATTGAGAAGTTTTGACGGATGACAATTTTGCAATGGATTAATTGAAAAGCAAATGAAACAGCAAAGTCCACAGCAAGGCCCAGGGGGAGAGCCAGAGGGACAAAAAGGAAAATGTGATGCTAAATTTCAATCGAATAATCCATTGACAAAATCTTCGCCTATTAAAATTTCTCAATAATTCTCCATTCAACTGAACGGAAAATCATTATTCTCATCAATACTCCCGCGAATAAAAAAAAATCTGAAAAAAAAATTAGTAAAAAAATTTTTTTTGCCTGAATCGCGTCAAACACTCGTTTTTTTACTATTTCATTTTGCCCCACTCTCCCCTATCAATGAATCATAATACTAGAATAATTTTTTTTTCTTCATAATTGTGATTGATGGAATCGACTAACTTCTTTCATAAAAAAATTCTGTATTTCAATAAGTATCATTATAACGATAATCAATGTCTTAAATAGTAAGTGTTGTACCTAATGCCATCATTTAGATGATACACAGTCTATTGGATAAATCTTTGAGAAAACTGGAACAGTGATTAATTTAATCTGCGAAGGATCAATTCCCGTTGAACACTTTTGTTAAATAGAGCATTTGAAGAATTTCCATTTTGTAGTATCTCTCGTTGCACAGATCGTTTTCCTGCCTCAAATTACATAGAAACTACGAACAATATATAATTATAAGCCGTTGTCACTGAGCTATTCTTCAATATGTTGGACGCCCAATGATCATTTGATGTGGTATTATCGCCCCTTAATCACTACCCTGGTCTCGGTGCTGAAACCAAGTCTGGATATTCATCCGCCAGGTTCATTGATAGTTGAGAAGAAAAATTGTTCAACGATACGCCTTGTCTTTCTCGGCAAAGGCAAACAGATCGACACTTGGAATTGCTTCAAAATCAGTGCACGAAGCCAATTCATTTCCCCCTTTAATACGTAGAAATGCATTTGGTTGCATTCGGGATATATTATTGCTATTGTCACAGATGACTCTGGCCAACGTCACACGACGTATTTGAGTTAATTGTTCATTTGTGAATGGACGGGGCTGTGCCATGGAATCATAGAAATAACGATCAGTCCATCGAGTTCTGGCGAATTGTTCAGATAACAAACATCTGAATGTCGGTCCCAAAATGCTGTCTTCGACAGGCTTTTCCACCATACCACCGACGATGAGGTCAACGTCGCTTGGGTGATTATAAAGCCCTTGTAATTTTTTCACGATCTGTAATTCAATGAATGATCAAGAGTTACTCAGATTGTTCACATACAGTGAGAGAAAAAAAACTTGTTCTCAAAAGTCTTGTTTAAATGAAAAAAAAATACAAGTGGATAATTTCTTGAAATTATGAGAAAACAAAGATGAAAATTGTTTGAAATGTAAATAATCACTCTGCTTTCAACAACAAAATATGTCTCAAAAGGAAATTATCAAGAAATATTTTGCTGCTAAGTTACAGAGTTACTATCGTCATTATTATTCTATTTAAGAATAGATTTCTTAATTTTAAAATATTGGATAACCGAGACAAAAAACTGAAAAATACCTGTGGTAGTTATAGAATCACTGATAAGTAGGCCTAAAAATAAGGTGTCTTGCTTGCATAGAAAATGATAGGTTTTCAACGTAACTAAATCTATTTTTGCGACAAAAAATTTCCATTTCAAGCCACTTTTTGAATAGCCAGAACGAAATTCTTGGTAATTTCCAACGTGCAATTTTTTTGCTTCAAATAAGACTTGAGCGCATGTTTTTTTGTTCGGTGTTGATGTTATTAAAAAAAAGATAAAATGGAAAACTACCTCTCGTGGAATATGATCGAGAAAATCGTCAAAGGTTTTTGCCGAAGGAAGTCCACAGTATTTGCGATAATGATTGTAACCAGGAAGACCGTGATCACGGCCACGTTGGATATCTAGACTGATAATATCGAGGCCCAATACGTTTTTATTCGTTCTGAAGAGACTTTCAGTCACCTGTGAACATGAAAAAATCAATTTTAATTACCTTTATATCGATAACTTCATTAATTTTTCCTAACTTTTTTTATTTCTAATATTCCATGATCCTATCTAATTAATAAATCAAAATCATAACCATTAAGCATTTTGTCAGATCTTCACGTATGAAAAAATTGAATAGAAAGAAAATTCTATTGAATGTCTAGTCAAATTAGGTTTTATCAACCATTATTAACACATGCCTCAATTTGAGGAATCCCGACCAGTTCAATTTTTTTCATTTCATATACGTCTTTTCAATCTGTAAAAAGCATTGAATGTCTATTGAAAATCTAAAGCAATTTTATTCTACTTAAAATTATGCAGCATCTCCCAGATTTTTTAACAGATATTTATTTATAGAGATATTTGTTTATAGATTTGTCTATAGAGGTTGATTTTTTATGCAACGTATTCTGTTGGAGTTTTTCTATAAACATTCTTGGGGATGATTTTTCTAAATTTTTTTCTGTAAATTTTATTATAAGGAACAAATAGAACACAACAAAATGACAGCGGCAAAAATTTGCGCCCAAGATTGTTTATAAAAAAATAAAAATCTACGGACTTTTTTCCATCAAATATCTCTTACCAAAAAGACTGTAAAGTCGCATGATCTCCAGAAGAAATGGTGCCAAAAATGAGTAGAATTTTTTCACAGAATTCTAAAGAAAACGTCAAGAGTATTCTAATAGAATTCTAAGAGAGATTCAGTAGAGTTTCTTAGAGAAAGCGCTAAATTTTTCTATTAAATTTTTTCATACATGTTTACGTGAACGAAAAATGAATGAAGAAAATTATATAAACTTACATCAGGTACAAAATTCATATCCATCTTGCCAGAAGTCTGACTAGTCAAACCACGGAGAAGACCATCAAAAGTTCCTTCATTCTCTATGACTCTTGGTTTATAGAAATGCTCGGATAATTTCAGAGATCCATTGTTGCGTCTCTCATCATCAGTCATACTATAGGATACATCAATTTAATATTACGACTTCAATAATGTAAATCTAAAAATCCTGAGTTTACCTCAATTGGCTTCGTTTCAATGAATTGAGGAATCTCAGAACAGCTGTGGAGGCTTCGTTGCTCACAGCTGGATCCTCGTACGAGTTGTAACTTATTCTACCCTGCTCGATACTCGAAACAAAACCAAGGGCACGGGCGTATTTCTTTCCCAGAATAGTTGGAAGCCACTCTTTGTAGGTGATGTGTTGAATTTCGGCGATGACAATTTGTCTGCTTTCTTGGTATAATTTCTCGTCTGACCAGGTTGGATTTATTTTTGAGAGCTTCTCTGCTATTCTGTTGTGTTCACGCAGCCAAATTGTGTGCATTACGGCTAAGTGAGGTTCAAAATTCACTCGAGCGTCACCTAAATCAAAGAAATTACACTAAATTAAATTCATGAAAGGAATTACGTACGAAAAGAAATTCGCTGGACAGTTTTATTGGACTTTTATTGAAAATTTTACTAATTTTTCACTGGTCCTATCGGAAAATTTCGTAGCTTTTCTGCGCGTTTTTTGCTTCCGATAGACGTATTGTAATCGTTCAAATTTAACTTTCGGATTTTTTGTGTTATATCAACCTATTCTGGTCCAAAAAGCCCGATTATGCCATTTTTAGACCCTGTCCGTATGAATGTACGTAACAAACTTTTTTTTAAATTGTTCGCTAATAAATCGATGGAATTAAATCTTATTCTTTCAAATGTAGGTGTTGTTGAGCCCTATCCACCGATATTAATAAAAATTTCTTCCATAAACTCTATTTCTGAATTTTTGTATTTTAAAAAAAATCAGTTATCCCTCTATAACTCAAAAAAAAATATTCTAAATTCATTGAATGATGGCGTAGAAAATTCTTTGGATGTCTCTTCGATCAGGTTAGAAGATGAAAGCGATAGCTGTTATCGTTGTTTTGATTTTTAGAATAATTTTCAAAAATTTTGTATTTTATGAAAATTACAAATCCAAGGATATCTTTGGATATCATGTTCTAAAGTCATTAAATGATAGCTGAAAATATTCATTTCAAAGCCACTCTGACGAAGTTAACAGATCGTTACTATCCCTATATTCGTTGGTTTAGTTTTTATGATGATTCTTGTAAATTTAGAATTTTTCGTAAATTACTCTGAATATGAACTTTCTGATGGTTTCTTCAAATATGATGTTTCCAATTAATTCCATAATATAGATAGCATCATTCTTCCATTCGATTTATGAAAGAATTTCGGAAATTATTCTTATAGCATTTAAAATTTTGTTGATTTTCCATCTTTTGGAAAATTTACTTCCACTGATTATTTGCATAAAAAAAAGAAAGGCTAAAATTGATTTAAATATCATTAAAATGATCTACTTCGACTTCACTTTCATCAAATATTAAAGTAAATTAAAAATATAACACAATTGATTGAAAACGAAATTTCATTGACTTTATAAAATGATATGAAGTCTAAGTATATTACTAATTAGCAGAAAACTATACTGTATTGATATCAAAGCATTTCTCACTTGTTTTTCTAACGAAAAATATTTTATCAATAAAATTCATAGGATTTGATCAAATCATATCAAAATCGAATTTCAATCGACCGAGGAATTTCTATAGTCAATATGGATAAAAAAAACAGCCGATTCTATGGAGATATTTTCGGTATAAATCCCTCGGCCTAAATTTTCCAAGTCCTATTATTTTAATTTTGCAGCGAGAGGTGAAAAATATTCAGTGAAAAAAACTTGGAAAATTTATGTCGATAACTTTTTACTGAAAATATCTCGGTAGAAAAAGTTGTATAGAACGATCAAGATCTATTGATTTTAGTTCTATAAAATAGTTTCTATTGAACATCTACAGAAATACAATATAATTTTTCAGCGATTTGTTTGGTTTCTCTACAAATTATTTCGTGTGTTGTACAGCGTCGTACGTCATTTCCAATAGGATTTATTTGCAACAGTATCAATTGAATATTAAACTAATCAAGGAAAAGTAAATAAAACTTACCGGCTTTATAACAATTGTCAGGATCCTCGCAAACATCAACGAATGTATTGTTTCCAGCCTTTGGTAAGTAAGAAAGTCCATTCTGATCATCAACACGTAATTTTCCACCTTGGAATGTTCTCAATTCCTCAGCTCTATCATCATCAGCTCCATAGACGGTTGAACCATCCAAGAAGTGGGTTACTTGATTCATCTGCTCGATGGGTCCGAAACTGCAGTCGGTTTTAACCACCGGCAACGATCGAACATAATTCATGCAACGTTGTTGGTGCTGTCCATAGACCGGATCCTCCTTAGGTACGTGTATATGTGCACAGTGTGGATGGATGTGACGAGGGGCGAGGAAATTTCCATCTGAGGTGCAACAGGAAATGGGCTCCTTCGTTGTAACTATGTGAAAAATTCATTTTCAATCATTCAATTACTTCGAATTATCTTTTAAATCAGATTCAATAGTTTGATCGAGAAAAGGGGTCAACACGAAAGAAAAATCAAGCAAATTCGCTAGATAATTCTACTGAATTTCTATTAAATTTTCTATTAGTCAAATGGAAAAAAGTCTAAAAGTCAATGAAATTCGATTTGTCTATACAACTTATTCTATTGAGATACTTTCTATGTTTTTTCCACTCTATTTTTCTATTCTTTCAATCAAGAAAATCAAACAAAAAAAAACTTTAAAAAATTGAGCCGAGGAAATTCTATAGAATTTCCTCAATAAGATAAGTTTTATAGAAAAATCTAATTCTGTTGACTTTTTCTATCGAATACTTTCTATTGATCATTTCAATAGAATTGTTTAGCGAATCCTTCTATTGAATTTTTTCGTGCGTGACACTGCAAACTTTTAAATGTTTTATCCACTAAATCACATATATCGATGGTCAATATATGCAATTCAAGAAAAACGTATTTGTGGATTTTATTTTTTATTCATTTTCATATATTAAAATTATACCTATTAAATTCCACACAACAAATTCAATATTTTCAAATTTGAATTATACAATGCGGAATTGAAGTAGCACAAGGTGTAATTAGGTTGGTACATCTTATTTTAATAGAATACAATTAGAATGTGAAAATTACAATTTCTGGAAACAAAGTTTTAATATAAAATCTTGCATAAAATCTGTCAAAACATAAATTCCATTGTGTGTAATAAGTCATTCTCTCCAGAAAACGCTGTCAATGTTAAACTAAGCTAATTCATCAAAGTATGACTTTCTTGGGAAATGGCATGGACTCCCAAAAAGATCTCTCAATATTCACCAAAGAATCTTTATTCAAGCATCCGACTTGAATAATTTTATCCTTTCAGTCATGACTAATTTCAGCAGAAAATTGAATTTTTTTACGACTGAGAAAACTTCCTATCAATATTGAAATTTGGTACTTCGCATGAAAGCCTGAATCATGTTCTTTGGCAATATCCATTGTATCTATCCAACAGGGAAATCAAGGATTTATACATCGTTTATATCTCGTCTATTGACCTCATTTCTCAATATTAATTAAAAATGCTCTTTAAAAAATTTCCACAATTGTTTCTACTCTTTTTCAATTCACATTTATAATTTTCATAGATCTGTCAGTGACGGGACATTCAATTGAAATAACTTCTCTAAATATAATTTTATGTATAACTAAATGTTTGCAAGGAATTATCATTCGTGTAAATTCACACAAAATCACTGTATTTTTACTGCAGAATATACCGTCAAATGCTTACAAAAAAAATATTGAAATTAATTCCTTACCCATTTTCCGTACAACGGTATGAGCCATATCATTAGCAATGAATTGTCCCCACTGCATGACAGCGAGTGTCCTGGAGACGTCAGATTGATCAGTAGTTCTTGATAGACTCGTGCTGACTACTCTGGCTCCAGGCAGTGAGTGGGGCTTCTGTGAAGCACTCCTTGGGCGTTCAATTCCTATTAGCCATTGTCAATTTTATTTAAAAAATCATAAACATCACCAGATCAATTTATTTACAGTCCTAGCAAACATAAGTGGAGAGCCTGGCAAAATGGACCTCCTCACATGATTTCGAAACAAAAAAAAGTTGAGAAGAAAAATCCTCGACTTTTGAAAATGAGACAGTTCTATAAAAGATACTATGGAAGAGTCGATTCTGCCTTGCTCTCTATTAATTAAAAATCTGTTAATAAACCTAAACCTATGAAAGGACGACGCTCGCTTTCTCCTAGAAATTAGTCGTCAGTGAAAAATAAAAACGTCCAATATCTGCTATAAAATATCCCTCGTAAAATAATGAATTCCTAATAAAATCCCAGATGATCATGGACATGAAAAATGCTGAGTCCCCAAGGCTTAAAGTATCCTAATTCTAAATAATTAATATATATCCGAATTATTGTTACATACACTATTTGGTGGATAGCCCCTTCCGAGCGACACTCGGTACTCGCATATGTGTGTTCATTGACACAACATATTGAAGTATCATAAGTTTTTATGTGCATTATAATTGCACCGTAGCTGTAATACAAATCAAACATTACAGCTTTGTCAAGTTAGAGAAATTATGACAATTTCATTGCGGCTCTGCTCCTCCCTTCCATTTCTAAATTATTCAAAAACTAAACTGATGGACTGAAGATGATTCATGGTGGCGCCAATACATCTCAATGAATGTTCCTAGTTCTTAGAGAATAGTGAAGAAATTAATTAGTGTTTGATTAACCCCTCACTTTACAACTCGATGAATGAAAAATTTCTTCAATTTTGTCTGTCGATCCCATTATCTGACATAAATTGGGAAATTTTCAATGTTGAAAAGAGCATTTCATTTTCTGGAGACATTACTCATGAGTGAGGGATTAATATGTAGTGATAAGAGAAAACAAATGCAAAAAAATTACACGTTATTTTGCAATTTTTAGGGATTTATCAAGAGACTTTTTTCATAGGTGAAAAAGGTCATTCCAAATTATGACTTCATTCATCCCTCTATTAATAATTATTGAGAAATAGTATTATATAGTATTGTATAATTAATAAATAATTAGTTACACAATACTATTTCATTATTATTCCCTCAAAAATATTTTCTACAAAAAATGTTTGAGATTTCGTCCTGCAACCAGTCATTTCCGAGATCATTCGACAATAGGAAACTTGCATGCAGCTCAATTCTTTCGAATCCCCCTATGCACTCATTCCTCATAACATATGGATAGCTAAACGGCGAAAATTATGGAGAAATATTGTCTACATGTCTTGTGATAATTAATTAAAAATCAGTCGTTTTTGAGGGCAATTTTTCGGTCATGACGTCACGACGACGGTCAGGTAACGCTTCATTGGTCGAAAAAGAAGTGAATGGGGAGGAGTTGTCGACCTCCTTTGGCCGAGGCGCACCTTAAGGTTGGGTTAGGTCGGCTAGAGCCATTCGTGATTGGTCCAGCATTCGACCGTCTGTGTGACGTCATAGGGATTTCAAAGCGTTTGAAATCTTCAACTTTCAATAATTAATTATTAATTAATGAGCAATATTTCGAACGTTTGTGAATGAAAAATGAATTATTCAGGTCCCAAACTTGAGATTAGAAAATTAAAAAATTCATGCAAGTTCCATATTGATGAACTGTGGGAATAGTCATGTCAGATTGAACAATTAACATCTAGAAATTGATATGAACAGAAATGTCAAAAGCTCTTTGAAGTTTTTCGATGAATGTCTACAAGTTTCAGAGGTATGAATTTGCAAAATGATTACATAGATTTTTTGCNCCTCAAAAATATTTTCTACAAAAAATGTTTGAGATTTCGTCCTGCAACCAGTCATTTCCGAGATCATTCGACAATAGGAAACTTGCATGCAGCTCAATTCTTTCGAATCCCCCTATGCACTCATTCCTCATAACATATGGATAGCTAAACGGCGAAAATTATGGAGAAATATTGTCTACATGTCTTGTGATAATTAATTAAAAATCAGTCGTTTTTGAGGGCAATTTTTCGGTCATGACGTCACGACGACGGTCAGGTAACGCTTCATTGGTCGAAAAAGAAGTGAATGGGGAGGAGTTGTCGACCTCCTTTGGCCGAGGCGCACCTTAAGGTTGGGTTAGGTCGGCTAGAGCCATTCGTGATTGGTCCAGCATTCGACCGTCTGTGTGACGTCATAGGGATTTCAAAGCGTTTGAAATCTTCAACTTTCAACAATTAATTATTAATTAATGAGCAATATTTCGAACGTTTGTGAATGAAAAATGAATTATTCAGGTCCCAAACTTGAGATTAGAAAATTAAAAAATTCATGCAAGTTCCATATTGATGAACTGTGGGAATAGTCATGTCAGATTGAACAATTAACATCTAGAAATTGATATGAACAGAAATGTCAAAAGCTCTTTGAAGTTTTTCGATGAATGTCTACAAGTTTCAGAGGTATGAATTTGCAAAATGATTACATAGATTTTTTGCACTTGTCCCCAGTTCTCTACAATTTCGCTCCATAAATTACAATTATTAATTAATCAATGAGCATCAATGTACCGTCTGCATACGAGGGGAATAGGATTCTCGAGTAGGCAGTCAGTGCACTGCCCCATCGTGGGTTCTCAGGGTTATTGCAAGATCCATCAATAGTACGATAATGAGCGTTCGCTCGGCAAGACACTCTTTGCTTTGAAGCACATGATTCTCCAATGGTTGTACCCTGTAGTTTGTATGCCGACACGAAGCGAGCACATGCTTCGTCACTTACACCAAATCTGAAAACATAGTAGTGATAAATGAACACATTTATTGCTTCCGAATCGAAGCATTGTAATCGTTCAAATTTGGGTTTCTGATTTATTGTTATATCAACCTATTATGATCCAAAAAGTGGGAATATGCTATTTTTAGATCTTATTCGTATGTAACGTGTATATGTATCACGTATAAAAAAATTCAATAGACAACCTAGCGAGTTCGCTAGAAAATTCTATTAGAATTCTTGGGGGTTTCTATAGGATTTGTATTGGAATTCTATTGAAAAATTCGATTTCTTTTTTGCGCTGATTGGACATTTGACAGAAAAAAGTGAATATATTTTGAATTTCTATTTGAATTTTTCTCTTGATTTTTTTTCTATTAGAATTATTAGACACAAACTTTCTAATTTTTTTCCGCTGGATTTTGTTTTGTTTTGCATTACAGAATCCGAGTGGAAAAAACTTGGAAAATTGATGCCCAAGCATTCTTATAGAAATTCAGTGGCTATTGCGAACGAGGCAAAACAATGAAGTATTGTCAGTACAAAAATAGTTGGAGATAAAACAAGATGCGTAGTTCAATTCTATAAATTATACGAGATTAGATAATCTCGATATTATCGTCGACTCTTTGTAGTTGTATTTACACATTTTTTAAAGTCAATGGTAGAAGGGGATATAAATAAAACCGTGACGTAAGCGGTTCAAGGGAGTTCATCAAATTCCCTACATGAGTACGATGAAAAAAATTTCATCGTTGGATTTCTATTGAACTTTTATTATAAATTCTATTAGTTTTTAATTGAAGGAATCCGCAGCTTTACTACGTGTTTTTTTTTATGGTAATCGTTCAATAAAAATTATTGTATCGAAAAAATCAGTAGAATTCCATTTTTCTGCGCGACTTTTTCTATTTTTCACTCCATTTGTCTTTTGTTTTTATTGATCGAACAAAACAACTTCAAAAACTGAAGCTGATGAATTTATGAATTTAGAAAATCAACAAACCTATTGAGATATATTTTGTATATATCTCAATAGAAAAAGTTGCCTAGAAAAATCGCTACGAATCCCTACAAAATCGATTCTAATCGCTCAAATTGAAGTTTCCAATTTTTTGTGTTAGGGTAACTAAATATGGTCTAAAAAGTACAAACATGTGATTTAATATGGGATTTTTTTATAGTGTATGTGTGTATGCCGTCTTTTTTTTCAACATTTTCTCATCGGGGATCAATCGAAATCCATGATTTTTTTCATGAATATAGAATTTAATAAGCTCAATTCATTGACACCAATTGAAATTCACTTTTTCATACAGATTCGAAAAAATTTATATTTAATCAAAAACTGATTTTTCAATGATCATTCAAAAAACAGCCATCAAAATGGAATTAGTCATGGCTCAAAAAATTGATAACAATACCCTCTTGATTCCATCAGAATATGATAAGGGTCACAGAATTGACCCTCATCAAACTATACTATATTAACATGAAAGCAATTTCTTACTTGTTCACTTTTTTTAATGCTCGTCACAATGTGGAAGAACTGTATTTTCCAGGGGAACAAATTGTTTCATCTCATCAAAAATTCAATGAGTCATTGAATTCGTTATTGAGTTGCAGCGCATTGTTTATGCGATTTGAACGAGAAAACCGTTTTTTTTTATTACTGAAAGAATCATCAGTAATAGCAATTAAATCAGGACTTGAAAAGTATATTTCAATGCCTTCTTAATCAAGTTGAAAAATTGTAAGAACAGCATTATTGCTTATCAAGTTACACAATACCGTGATGAGCTTTTTATATAACGAGATCGAGCGCGCGCTACAGCGCGCTGTAATTGTAACAGTCATAACTGAAAATTTCAAAATTAAATTAATCATGAATTAAATTTGCCGCCTCAGATGACTGGAACCAATGAGGAATAAGCGTGACAGACTTGCGAGATATCGATAGTTATCGACTTTAAGTGTATGTTCTTTTTAGAATCGAAAAATCTCTATCTCTATTAAACTCTGGTACTAGTCTATTATGTTGAATACTTATTCATATTGATTCAAGGCCCCGACTAACTTCTGACAGTACCTGGGTTAAACTCTGGCTAAATCCTGAATAAACCCTGATTAAATCCCGGCTATACACTGATTAAACCTGGATTGAACCTCGATTAAACCAGAACGAAATAATACGCACAAAATTTTGATGACATGTCAATTGATGATAGTACTATGACATGAAAAAATAGAAGAAAAGAATAGTGAAATAAAAATGGAAAAAAGACAACCCATTCGGAAACAAATTGCTAATTTATTAACAACAATAACTATATTCATTTATTAAAAAATGCTATTGTCCAGTTGTTTCTATATAATATTTCCCATTGATTCTCAACAGAATTGGCTAAAAACTAACGGAAAGTTCAATAGAAATCTGACAGAATTTTCAAGCGAATTCGCCAAATTTGTCTATGAAATTTGTTATATGGTTGATTTTCTTACCTTTGGCAAAAATGTTGAACGAGATACATTGAAGCCTTCGCAACAACTTCCGCCTCCAATTGCAAATCAAGTGCATCTTCAGTTGGAGACGCATATAAATACTGAGAGTGAGTGGGTGTATCATCAGTCAATCCAATCCCAGCATTGACTAGGTTTTTTTCTAATCTAGCAATTCGTTCAGACAGTGTAATTCCATAGTTAACGGAGTTATTCAAAGCATTCTCAGTCACTTCTGGAAGATTTGAGGTCTCAACGTCCTCGGGGTTGAGAAGGAGAGGTCTGTTTATTTTCGAGTCGCCTGAAAGAAGGAGTTCGGTAGGTCAATCACTACATTCAGTAATTAATTTGTCGATTCGAGACGAAAGTGTAATTTTCTTATTTTAATGTAACCATTCGTAGGAAATTTCCTACGAATAAAGTTGCTCAGTTATTTATGTCAAAATGACTCACTGCAGTGTTAAAAAGTCTTATTTTTTGTCGCCATCAAACATTGATGGCGGACTTCCGAATGGTGTGAGATATTACAAAAGTTTATAGCTTTACACCGCTATCAGCAAAAAATTAAATGTTTCCTGCCACCTCCGTGGATGCTATAAAAATTTCAATGTTTGGAATACTTCGTATGAACGGGTATACATATTTCTATATAAATTTCAAGTTGATATCTCGACTTTTGCACAAGCTACAGTGATTACAAAGTTTTTTTTATGAATAAACAGAAAAACGGGAATATCTCGAAAACTTAGTAGAATCGGGTCTATAGATTTTGATTGATTTAGATAGAAGGCATCGAAATGAACATTTTGAAAACAAAAAAATCTAAATCTGTCGTTTCAATGAAACAACCTACTTTGACTTCACTTTCGAGTAAATGGATGCCATAGATATATATTATTTCATATTTAAAATTTCATCAAATATTAAACTAAATTAAAAATATAACACAACTGATTAAAAAAGAAATTTCATTGAATTTAATAAAATGATATGAAACGATGAATTATATGCTATACAAGCAGATGATGTGTAAAATGCCAATTCGGAAGCATTTGCTAATTTATTAGCAAAAAACTATACTATATTAACATGAAAGCAATTTCTCACTTGTTCACTTTTTTAAATCCTCGTCACAATGTGGAAGAACTGTATTTTCCAGGGGAACAAATTGTTTCATCTCATCAAAAATTCAATGAGTCATTGAGATTAAAAAAAAATCAACTATCAATTTGTTTCACTCGCCCTATATTTATGTTAAACGTGTTATTGTTAGATAAAACGTCAAAAACTGCTTTCGAAACTGGCAAAATTTTCAAATAAAAACTTCTCATAACATTAGAAAGATACTCATTTCGTAACGTACCAAATCCATGCGACTGAAAATATAGAGAGATCCTCTCGTCATGTATCGCCTGTGGATGTCCTAAGATTCCTGCAGCTTGCAGAAAAACCCATAGGACTGCCACAATGGCAATTGCCCCCGCCATCAGTGCACCAGCTGGAAAAAAAAACCAAACGTCATTCATTTTTCCTACATTTTTTGTAAATGAAAGAATGTCACTCTTATCTTGGTGGTAAGTTGAGATGTGAGTGACAAAATGACCAATCAAATGACTGTCTATGATCACCGTCATGACCGGTAATTACCGGAGAGAGAATCTGACCATATGATCAGAAAAAAATGACGATTGACCATAAGCATAAAATAACCAAATATATTTTGACCGTCAATGTCAATCTCTATAGATGTTCCTCAATTTTCGAGCACTAGTTCGACGATTTCCATATTAAAAATTTTTAGCTGAAATTTCCAGTACTCTTTTCGGAAATTTTTATCACATTCAAGTTCCACTGAAATTTCAAATAAATTGAAGAATACTCGTATTCATGCTTCTCAAAATTTTGGAATTTTATTAAATTTTCAGTAAAATCTGAAATTTCATGATTTTTTTCAATTTAAATTGCATTTCAGGTGCATTGTCGTAAAAGTTAACAGTCAATTCTCCATTAATTTTCATATTTTTCTGATAGTGTATCATTGAGAACGGAGTCATTAATAATAATAATTAATAAATAAAATAATATATGATAATTTAATTCTATTAAAGAGTTGTTTGAAACAAAAATGACGGTCAATTTGCAAATATATTGACGATTTTTTGTTATTTTGACTCGTGTTTGATGCAGCTTAACTGTGACGGTCATTTTGCATACAAAATTCGGTCAGGGTCAGAAAACGTCCAGAAACCGGTCATTTACGTCTGACCGAAAGGCAAAATGACTGGTATTTCGCATCTCTAGTGGTAACGTGATAATTGCACCTGATGGGCATCTCTACGGAAATGAATTTGATTTCCGCGACTGTACCAAAATGACTATTCAGCATACTATAACATCGACACAGCATTTTCTCGACAAATGACCTTTCCCACGCAATAAAATTTCTTCATTTTTAGGTACGTGTGCTCACAAACGAGAAAATTTTATTTTTAAAATTTTTTAAATAATTGTTTTTTCATCTCCTGCGCGTTCTTTATTTCAATAGAAATGTTCGCTCGGAAATATTTTATAGAGAATTATATTTGTTTTATAAGACAATAGAATTAGATTCTTCTATAAACCTCATTCGATTGGAATATTTTCTATAGAAACTCTTCGGCTCAAATTTTCTAAGTTTTTTTGTTCGATTGTTTTTACGAGAAAAGAAAGAAAATTTAGTGAAAAAAAAACTTGAGGAATTCAAGTTTGACTATTTTTATTGAAAAAAAAAGCAGTAAAGCTGTGCAATTTTTCAGCAGACTTTCAAGTTGAATAGAAATGTAATAGAATTGTCTAGTAAATTCGCTAGGTTTTTCTATAACAATTTTTTGTGTGATTTTTTTTGCATTACGGCTTTGTCTACAGAAATTATAATCCTCATATTCCAATTACACGACATGTATATTCAATTCTTATGAGTTATAATGTAGTGGCCCAATTAAACATTGTGCAATCTGGATTCCACATTGTATAATTCAATCTTGTAAATGTTAAATTTGTCATGTGCGGTTCGACCGTTATAATTTGAGCACTTGTAATTCACATTGCACAATGTGTAATTGGGATGGTACACTACAAATCAATGGGGATTACAATTGCGGAGGACAAAATCATAATGCAGAACATCACATGCGTAAAAAATGAAGGAATTCCGTTGTGTGCAACAAATAATTTTGTCGAGAATGTTGTCTCGGGAATAAAATTTAAATTTATTGTCGGCAGCTTTACCGGAACACAATTCCACTGATTGACATGTCTAACCATAAACTAGTCATAAACTTATGCACAATACAACTCTCTCGATATGCATAAAAAATCGGTGTAAAAAAGATATATGATTTATAATCACGTGGACATATCAGTTGGAGGATTTATGCTTCAGTAGAGATATTAAGAATAACCAGTGATGAATGAATCAGGTAGACTCAATTACTAGTGTACTAATCTCCTTCGCGGGTTGTAAATTTTAGAATGTTTGAGAAAAATTCTGTAATTTTTCAACCTGATGAGGAAATATGTGGAACTAACATTTCTGCTAATTAAGAAAAATTAGTTACTGTAGCTTTGATGAAAGGAAATGAACAATTTTTTTGTTAAATATGGGTTATTTGAGATTTATTTTTAAATTGATAATTCACCTACTGGAAAACTCAAAAAATAAGAATAGAGAGAAATGTAAAAAAATGCACTGAGTTTAATGGAAAAGGAAAATCCTGGGCTAGCGAGGCAAATAATACAGATATTTGAAACTTTCAGTTCCATATAACGAATGCTGACGCCTGCATTCGGTCCGTATTGTCTATTTTATCCCTGAATAATCACCTTTGGTTAGTGGATTATCATTTTTATCATTGTGAGAAAGATAACTCTGTCTGTCAGTTAAAATAATACAATCTGTGTGTTTTTGATTGAGGATAAACATGTTTAAAGTAGTACAAAAATAACGTGAATTTTGAAGATTAAAATCTGGAATAAATTCTAAAAGTATGTTAAGATGAATAAAAACATTCTGGTGGAGTTTGTGCTCAATTGACAGTCTCGTATTACTGACAATAATGGATTTAAAAGTGCAAAAATAACACAGTCTTATGAGAAAATTAACTTTTCAAGGATAGGGAGAAAATTAAAGTCTAGAAAAAATCTCGAAAAATCAGAAAAAAAAAATAAAAATTCTATGCCCAATATGAAAATTATCGTCGGTGTCAAACTTTTGTAACAAATAATTAAAATTTCTGCGTGCCTGAAATAGTATGTTATGTCGACACACCCTAGTCAAACGAGACTATTGTTAAAAAAAAAATTGGAGAAAGAATTTGATGGATCAATTTACTCCTGATGAATTTTTTTTGTTCCCTTTTGAATTAATTTTTCCTTGTTACACTCAACGACTCAATTGGAGTTTATTCATAATACGTTAAGGATATCCAAGCATTTTTTACAGTTCGGTACAGATCACACTATAGATTCGACAATTTTCACTCATCAAATTTGTCAATTAGATTGCGTGATGAAAATTTGAAAAATAAAAGTAAACAATCTAATTTTTTTCAGATTTTTGAAACGTTTTCTAACGCTTTAATATTGAGAATCAGACCTGCAATATTTAAATAATAAAATCATTGTAAAATGTCCAGAAACTTGTGGTCAAATGGGGCTCAAATGAAAGCTCTGATGTTCGACTACAAAATTAAAAAACATTTCCCTGGTGACAAAAAAAGCCAAAGCACTGGGTCCTCAAGTCATCACTCAGTACCTGTATTTTCTTTCATTCAAACTCTTAAAATGAGTTGATTTTCAGGAGAAATGTCACCCGATAGACACGTCATACCCGCAATTGTCATTTCGCCCCCGAATCATCAGCATGAAAAAGCAATTCGTGAATAAATAATTTCCTCCTGTCACTGTCAATCGGGTAGAAAATATAAACAAACAATCGTGGTGTCAGAACCATTGACTGAAATATCTCCAATACTTTGGAGAGGGTTCAACCCCGAGAGAAATGCCGCTTGAAATCGGTGTCACAGGCCCTCACCTAAATTATTCTTCTTCACTTCCTGAAATTTCGTATATGCCTCCTGCAGGAGTTGTATAGCCATTTTACCAGATACCTCCGTCCGTTAGGTTTCAAGTACCGCCTCAGACTCGGGCAATGGTGTGTGCAATCGTCGACGCTACGATTCCTCCCACAATATTGAGTAAAAATCATGCAAAATAAAATTGAATCTCAAAAACTTTTTGCATCAACGAATAACAAAATCAACGTGTCTATCCAATATCGGAAATGATTTCGCGGTGGAAAATACAGCCTCCTGATAAAGATATTTGAATTATTATCTCAAACAGCGCTCTGTGTGTTTACGAAGTTTTGCTTACACAGGGCCGATGAGAACTGAAAATCGAACGCATAAAACAGGGCGATACGCAGTCAGTAATGCAGGGAGTACGCCTGCGCAGTAGAAAATTCCGTGCTTGTCACCGACATTGTACAGTAAAAATCAAAAGTTTCTCCTCCGCCCCGAAACCTCCCGAAGGCATTTTCATTTAGGAAAGTGACTCAAGGAATGAAAATTTTTTGACAGATTTTACTTTGAGTCATCGAGTATACAGAGGTCCCGAGGAAAGTTCTGGACGTTCTATAGCGCCCCCGGCACCTAAAAATACCCCGAATTCATAATGCAATTCCCCGCCTAAGTTACAATCGATGCGCATAAATCATTAGCCGACATTTCAATATTGTTTACTTCGTTCATTCATTGATCGATCCCTTCGGTCGGTCCTCCCTCTCCGCACGAATAATTGTATTATTTTCAGAATTAAGTATTCGATTGGGGGATAAACCGAGGGTTAATGTTTATATAATGATAGAGTCACGAGGGGAGGGAGCGATATCGGCGGCAAATATGTAATTTAATAATTTTGTAAAAAGAAGATAACGAATTATGGAATCCGCAAGTCTCTGTAGAAATGCCGTATGTGATTGCGCTGAGCCCGTCTGACGGGCATGTGATCGCTGCGTGATATTCGGCTGCAGGTGAAGGAGAGGGGAGCAAGGACAGATATAGGGGGCAATTGGACTTGCCTGCGCGGGAGTGAGAAGTACAGTAAAAACGTCAAAATAGAATATTCCCACTTGGAATATTCTCCGAGGAGTATTTTCATTTTCCGAAGGCTATTCCATGCTGGATATACAAATAGAGATTATTGCGTTGATGTTAGCGGAGGAATACATAATTCAGTTCTTTCATTTTGTATTTTTATCTTCCGTTGTATGGGGGAAAATTAAAGAAGATTGGAAGTTATGATAGCATCGAGGATCTTTTCATTGTTTTTTTTTAAATGACATAAAATTCAAAGTAATTATTTATCATTCAAATGATTGAAATGTATGAGGAATTCTATAGTCTTCGTATATCGCATATGCAAATAGAGATTATTGTGTTGATATTTGCAGACGAATACATAATTCAGTTCTTTTATCTTGTATTATGTACAGCTTTCGTTGTGGAGAAAAGATTAAAAAATATTGAATGTTGTGATAACATCGAGGGTCTTTTCATTGCTCTATTGCTAAGAATGAGATAAAATTTAAAATAGTAATTATTCATCATTTGAACGTTTGAAATGTATAAGGAATTCTTAATTGACGAATAAAAAGATCTTGGCAAATCATTTTGTGAAACATCTTGGGGATTCCCGAATGAAAAAATCTAATGGACTTTTATTTGTCTATAGACCTTATTCATTTTGTTCTAGCTTCTTGAAGATAGAATATTCCCACTTGGAAAATTCTCCGAAAAGGAGTATTTTCATTTTCCGAAGGCTATTCCATGTTGGAGTGTTTATCGTATATTCAAATAGAGATTATTGCGTTGATGTTAGCGGAGGAATACATAATTCAGTTCTTTCATCTGGTGTTTACATCTTTCGTTCTTGAAAAAAATTAAAGAAGATTGGAAGTTATGATAACATCGAGGGTCTTTTCATTGCTCTATTGCTAAGAATGAGATAAAAATTAAAATCGTAATCATTCATCATTTAAACGTTTCAATTGGCTCGGAATTCTTAACGGATCGATAAAAAAAAACAGTCAAATCTTGGCAAATCATTGTGTGATATATCTTGGGAACTGACGAATAAAAAAATCTAATAGATGCAGAAGGTCTCTTTAAAAATAATGGAATAATAATTGAACAAACACAATTGAACGATTTACGAAGTATGAAAATACGCTGATATATTGTAGTAGACTGAATATTTAGTACATCACAAAATACGATGTATTGATAATTATTGAATGGATATAATTTGAATAGAATGTCGTAAGTGCTCTCGCCAAAAGTGCTCTGGGCGAACTGAACTGTCCTCCACTTCCCCTGTTTAGTCTGGACCAGGCTCGTCCCTGTTAGAACTATCTATTACTTTTTGAACGACTGCATTGAAATGTTCAATAGAAAATGTTTAATAAAAAAAGTAAATAGAATTCTATTTTTCAATACGACTTCTATAGAATTTCCTCGGCTCAAATTTTTTACGGTTTTTTATTCTATTTTTCTTTTCTTTTCTCAATAAAATATCTCAATGGAATAAGATGTATAGAACAATCAAATTCTATTAGACATGTCAATTGAATCGGCCAAAAACTAATAGAAAATTCTATAGAATTGTCTAGCGAATTCCCCAGGTTTTTCTTTTAACTTTTTCCATACGTGGAACTTGAAGAAATTACCAAGACCCCTGTCTTGCAGGCAGTGGAATTGTCTAGAAGAATGTTTCTTGAGTCACTTTGATTCCAAGATATTCACAGTAGGGTATTTCAAGAATGCATTGGACTCGTCTCGTTTCCTATTTCATTCTCGAAGAAAAAAAATTCAGAGAAGTGCAACGGCTGCACTGACTCATGCCATACCATTCTCACTCTATTGAAATAAAATTTTCCCTCATCCTTTTTTCCCCATCCTTGTTCCTTGTTGCAATTGAAATCGAAATAATTATTTTTTTGCTTCAACGGGAGGGGTTAATGTACAAGAGGGCTTATAGTGCTTAGAAACATGTGAGTAATTTACCTACGCGTTTCCTCAGAATAATTGGTTCTACTAATAGATTAGCAATTTCCGTCTGAATGGACATTACTTTTCGTTTAACCCCGTATTTTATGATTCCTTATCGGTCAAATTATATAATACTTGTGAGAAACCTTAAAGTGAGAAAATATTGTCATCGAACACCTGTATATACGTACGCTTGTGTTCCTCCATTCATGCATGAGAGGAAAAATTTATTCTGCTGAAAAATTAAATGTTCTGAGTGAGAATATTTAATGGAGCTTTGGTTAATTTTCTTTAAGCTTTGCTTAAAGAATTGATGACCAAAAAATTAACATAGACAAAAATTTAATTTTCATGAAAAATCTTAAATTTTCTTCTATTAACTTGGTTAATTGTCGTTAAGCAAAGCTTAATGAAAATTAATCAAGTTAATTAAAATTAACCAAATTAATAGAAGAAAATTTAAGATTTTTCACGAAAATTAAATTTTTGTCTACGTTAATTTTTTGGGCATCCGTTGAAAACCGTAATTTTTTACATGACATTGTAAAAGAACCAATAAAGAACCAATAATTTACGTGATAAATGTAAAAAATGTAAAAAAAAACAGCCGACGTTACCTTTTATCGTAAACCGTGAAGTTTCGCGAAGTAATCTTCGCGAAAACCTGTGGAGGTAATTTACGCAAATTACGTCGGAAAAACGCTGTAATTTACCAATGTAATTTACACGCCCAACCCTGATTCATAATCATTGAAAATATCCTTAGAAGAATACAAACTATCGACATGAAACCATAATTTATTGTATCCCAATGATCTGATCTAAGAGAACCCCACAAAATTACACCACAGGAAGAATACAATAGCAAGGAAAGGATTTTATTTTCCCAAAAAAAATGATTTCTTTGGAAATTATCTAGATTTGTCAATAAACTAAGTTTCCTCCTGAAATTATTTTTTTTTTCTATAGAAATGATGTTTACTGGAAAAATATACGCACTACTCAATAACATTCCCTTGATATTAAAAACCGGAGTCTGATATAATTCTCCGAACAACGAATGTATTTACTTGAAAGACATATAAATGTCGTACGAGAACAATTACTGCTATCGAAATTATCATGTTTTGAAAGCTTTCTTTAATGTTTACAACTGAATTGATTCAACATAACAAAAGATCTCTTCCATGGAACATGTAGGTTTTCGGCAGAACTAATTTTTTCTTCCAGTGTGGCTATCAAATTGAAAAAAAAGAAAATCATAGAAAAATTGAATAATATAGAATTGCTGAGTCTTCCTCAACTCTTCGAAAATAATATCGTTATTATATGCCTTTCCACTTTGTTGTGGAAAAATAGAAACAATTCCAATCAGTGATTCCTTTTTCGTTCTAAAATTCAGAAAATTCCATAATCGAAACTTATAAACTTATTGTCGATACTATAAATAATTAAGAGGTACAACGCTAAAAAAAAGAAAACTTTATTCTCCTAAATAATCAGATCTATAAAAATATCTCAGAACCTGATAGAAATGAAGAAATCTTAATTAAAAATTTTCTAGTTCTTTTTTACAAAAAAGCTTAAGATGCAAATTTCTCTATTCCCACCCCATAATTCCTCAAGGCATCAAAAATGAACTTATCTTCCGCTCAGTTCATGCTCCGACTTTTACGATAATTTTTTAAAAATTGGGTTATCCTAAAATCAACAATGGAAACTCTTTTCTGACCTTTATCCGACAGAATGAGTAAAGCTGATAACAGTGTTTTCGAAAAGTTGGAAAAATTTCTTGACAAATATGCATTTTGATAAATTTTTGTCATGGAAGATAGTCTTTTGAAATTCAAATCGAAAATTACATTTTTGGGACAACAAAAGCAATCTTCAATATCTCTGTTAATTAGTGATGAGATAGATCGAGTTCCGTCCTAAATATTTTTTATTTGGAACTATACCTTCCGATTAAAAAATAGGATATCGAAAATTACCATCGAAAATTGTCAAGGCAGGTAGGCAGAAAAAATAGCGCACACCCCCAAAACGTGTTGAAACCCAATCAACTTAAAAATTTCCCATGGTCTATTTTTGCCGGGATTCGTCAAGACAATATTTCTACAAAACTTCTACTATAAGGATTCTACATATTGGAAATCCTATTCGTTTTTCCGAATTCCCTATTGAAGATATCTTGACAGATATTTCATGGAAAAAAGTGAAAAGATTTTGATTTTTTTTGTAATTTCCTCCTCTTGAGAGGGATATAATCAAAAAGGTAAGAAGATTTTGATTTTCTTACACGAATTATGGCTTCAGTTTACAACAG